TTTGGCCCTCTAGCTGTGATAGATGGGGAGACCGGGCCTCGCAGCCCCCTTTGACCCTCTCCTTTCCATTTTCTGAGGGTAGATTGCTTTTTGGCGCACTGTGCTCCAGGAGCTTTTTGCAAAGCTTTAACTCTGCAGGGCTAAGGCTAAAAAGCTTTAGCTAAAAAGCTAAAAAGCTTTAGCTCCAGAGGGCTAAGTCTGGCCCTGTCTGCTTCTTTCTTACTGAGCTGAACCCATTGTTCCCATTTATTTCCAGTTCCTACTATCACTTGGACTTATATTCAGACTTTTTGTTGATCTAAATGGAAATCTCCCTCTGTTTTTCTTTATAATCATTATCTCTTTTTTTAAAGACACATCTTCCCTTCCTCCCATTTTTTAAAAAATAAAACATTGAGTCCATTCACAATATACAACTAATCATTCTTTTAGTAGTTTCTAAAATCCCATCTCAAGATTGCAATTCTTTTCTCTTCCTCCTCTGCATCCTTTTGGGAAGCACTGGCAGATTATAAACAAGCAGTGTTTGCTTGAATTTTTAATATCATGATTTGAGCATTACTTGAGAAGCATTTGTCCTGTTCTGTGGGTTGGAAAACTGCCAATGATTTATGATTAACTTTCTTTCAACATTACCAGGAAAGAGTGTTGTCTTGATGTTGAAATTTCAGCCAGCGGTTACACCAAAGAAATGCAGGAAAATGATGGACTACTTTACTTGGATTGCCCTCAATATGAGAGCCTTAAAACTGAGACTTTTTCTGATGTGCATGATCCAGAAGGAGAGAGAGCTTCATGTAACGGCATAGATCAAATGACTGATGGAAACTTCATAGATGAGATAAAAGAAGCTTCAGAAGCTTTGTTGCAAACCACTGAGGAAGAGAGTGTAGGTGAAAGTGAAGACAGTTTAGATTTGCAGGGATTCAGCTGTGCCTTACAGCAGGTTGAAGGACACATTATTATGACTGAAGAGGAGTCTGACCCTGAAAGCTCTGCCATTGATTTTTCTGGTGATAAAAAGAACATCGAAAATTCCACCCAGTTGGAAGATCAAGCGGGTCATGAAGAAGACGCTGCTGACAAAGAATATGAAAATGAATGCCCTGGTCTGGTTGACTTATCTACATTAAACAGAGAATTTAGACCTTTCAGGTACAGATCTATACTGATCATTTAGAAGCTTTCCATATATTGTTTCTTTGTTTTTCCTTTCCAAAAGGTGAGCTCCTCTCAAGTATTAAGCATGTAATCTTTGCAGATAGTGTTTTTTTTAATTGTGAGTTTGTTTCAAATGTTGGCATATACTATGAACTTCATTTTAACTAGTTTACATTTTAATACCAATTGGCAGCCTACAAAATTGCCAGATTGTGTCACTTTCATAACTGACCCTGATGTAGAAATATTAAAACTTTGCAGACTTCCCATTAATATATATGGTTGTTTTATGGCAGTTTGTATTTGATCACTTCATGATGGAGGAACAAGGATCCTTTTATTTTCACCTGAACTGTTACTTGCTTCTTATTTCTGAGAACCACAAAAGATGTGACATCCGGGTTTGTGGAAGGAAGGAGCTAAGCACAAAATAAATGTGTTGAACCTAGTAGAACCCACATATATTTATGTTCTTATTTTTTTAAAAAAAAGTTTTAAAAACACTACCAGAAGTTTCTTGTGGCTAAATGTAGACATTTGAACATTTCCAAGGTCTGCAGAAATGCAGGCAAGGAGACTGCAGGTGGGCCACAAGCTCCCTGTGTTGCTTTATGCCATCCGATGTTAACTATTTGTTTCAGCTTTTCAGCATTTGTTCTGCATACCTGGAAAATCCTTACAAAAAACTTTACTGAGTATTTATCAGTTTGTTCATCTTATATAGAGAAGTGGGTTCTCCAACACAGGCTACCATATCCAAATAATGCCTGTAGTGGAGATGAATACGCAGCATGGTTGGCAAGACAAAGGGCAGATACTTGGATAGCTGTACAATGAAGGGGTCAGAATAGGTCAATCTGCCAGTTCACAAGCAATTAAAAACAATACATGTAAGAACATTGGGAGGGCAGGTATGAATAACACTTATACTAAATAAACCAGATGACTTTAAGGAACCCAAAGAACAACCTCCATTCCTTTAGCAGGTTTTGGGAGTGAATTCCATGGTGTATTATGTCCATTATCAGAATTGGTACTGTGGAAACAGCCTTTGTGAATGTCAGTTCCAGTTCGTTTGCATTGGAAAAGCTGCTTAGTAGAACTTGGTTTAAAAATGGATGACTAAAAAAATATTTCTTGCTTCAGGGATGAAGAGAGCCTGTTTCATGTCAATCAGCACAGGACAAGAACTACTAGTGTGACTTCAATACAGAGTACTGCAAGCCACTCAACAATTCCTCCTGTAAGTTTTTACTTAATGGGTTCAGGATCATGCCTCCCCACCCGCACCTCCCTCAATCATCTACTGCTAAGTCTGATTCCAGATTCAATAACATTTGTACAGTACAATTTCATATGCAGTAGATCCTTATTGGGAAATGTAAATGTTTTTTATTTTGGGAAATATTTTTTTAAGCTATTGTCATCAGTCCAGGTAATGGATAAAGCCAATTTGTTTAAGGGAATCCTGAATATTCTGCTTCTTTATTCTTAAGCCTTGATCATTTAAACACCTTATTGTTTTTTAAATGATTTTATTGAATTCTTAGAACAATTAAGTACTAAACAAGAACAGTTAAGAACTAAACTTCTACATTTCATTTTAAACTGTTAAAGAAAAAGCTATGTACCTGAAAAAACTGAACAGTACAAGCTAAAAAGAAAAAAAAATAACACCAGAAATAATAAAAAAGAAACAACCAATAATACAATATGATGAAAATTTCACTTTTTCATTACTTTTCTACAATATCAAAATAGTAATACTATATTTACATCTATTGTTATAATTCAATTTTTAAAGAACAGATTAAGATTAGACCATATGCAGATGTTTGTCCAGTCACACCACTCCATCAGTACAAATGGGTTCAAAAGCTCAGAGCTGACAAATGCCTGTTGAGTCAACCTACAGAATTTGGTACAGATATAATCACTTTTTCTGCAATATTCCAAGCTCAATGTATCCAAAGCTCTTAATGATACTCATTTTGAATGACACAGAAATAACTTCTAATTGAATCTAGCACAGATACTTCTTTTGAAAGCTCGACCCTTAAGGTGTTGATGGGATGTTGAGGTTTTCTAGTTATTTTTATCCTGAAGGTTAGAACTAAGGTAAAATTATTTTCAAGAAATTTATTCATTTTCTGTTGCTCCAGGATAATTTTGCATGATGTAACGATCCTAATGTCTTAGTAACTGCTGCATACAAGTACAGTGGTTTACTTTACATACTGTATACAACAAAATAAAATACATCTCCAGAAATATGAAAAATGTAATTCTACAAATCTTTGTTTCTGCTTTCTGCATGGTTTTATTAAATTGTACTTTGCTTATGCTATAGTGCCTTCAGGTGGACACATAATATACTGAGCACCTTGAAATGTAAAATACAAAAAAAGCTAAAGCAAGCATGGATTTTGAGGATTAATACTTAATTTTCTTTTTAAACAAGTCATACAACATCCTTATTTGTTAATTCCAGTACATGCATCTTCACAGTTTCAACATTTTTAGTAGTTTATAGAAATAAGAAAAGGCCATTACTAGCCCCCTTCTATGCCTAAATAAGTTTGTCAGCATGGCTTTCCAAACTAGCAGAGATGGGGAGGAATGAGTTCCTCCTTTGTTTTGGCGGGTGGCCAACATGACGTTGTGTACCTCTACCCCCCACCCCTATCCCCCGTCAACAAGATTGAAAGCAAACTTCTTGACAAAGGAGCTTTCATTGCCTTGAAAAATATAAGAGATCTTAAGAGTGCAGTTTGAAAGGCCAAAACAATTGTCTCTTGGAATCCAGAGATCACTCAACAAAAGAGATGGACAGAAAACAATAACATCTTTGTCTTCTAAATTCTTTAAATTCCTGATAAGTTGCTGGTGGTAAAATAATTAAAAGAAGAGCATCATGATAGAACTCCTTCCCTGAAGAATCCTGAGGTGCAAAGCAAGTTGGGGAAAATAACTGGTATTATTTTGAAAGAAAAAGAGTATAAGAAAAATGAAACTGAAGTCTAAAGAGAGAAAGAGAGAACATAATGCTTACTGGATTTCTAAGTCCTGTGGAACTTCCTAGCAGTTTACAATCAGATATAATTGTGTGTGATGCTAAACTGCAGCCTGCAGTGAGAAAACTTCAAGAAATGTTTATATTGGGGATGGAAGAAAAGTGAATATATTAAAGGCAGAGGGTATAATCCAGTTCTCTGGAACATCCTTCTTTTCCTTGATTATGATTACTGGAATTCCTTCTTTTAGTCTTCCCTTCAGAGTGTGGAAAACTCTCTCTTGAGATAAATTTGACCCAATGATGATAAAGTATCTTTTTATCATACCCATGTGGGATATAAGTCTAAATTTTCTGATTATACCTCCATTTAGCAAAGGCTTCAACTTTTCTTAAATATTCACATAGCTTAGTTGGCTGGTCATTCTGTACAGATCTCTAATGTTTTGTATCAATGCTAATTGTATCTTTTTGGCTTCCTTTTTAAAAATACCCCTTTCTCCTTTGAAATAGCTCAGAGCAATCTCATTGAGGGTTGCCTCCTTGTCTTATAAACTTGCAATATGTTTGGTGCAAAATCTTCCAGGGAACTTCATAATTAAGTGGGAATTTGAACCCCAAGACAAAATGCAGCACTCTTAGCATTTCATCACGTTCTTGCTAATACCAGATTCTCCTTTTTCATATGTAGTTCTAGCCAATCTAAAATTTAAGTATTGTAGCTGTGCTCATTAAATTATTTTCTATTGTTGAATGAAGGGGAAATTTTCATCCTATTTAGTGAAATCAAGTTTCAGAATGCAGCTTCTAATTTATATGTGTACTTTGTCAGGCATCCATTGCTGGGCACAACCACAAGAGGGTCTGTTATTCTTCCAGACAATCTCAAAACTCAAACACATCTAAAGCGTGTTGCTTCTTTTTGCATGACTTGCTTATTCTTAAGTACATTGGTTATTTTTTTAAAAACCTTTTGCAGGTATTCGCAGACATCAAGAAAAACTAATATTCAGTACTCCCTAGAAATTTGATGTTGATTGAAATAGGGTAACATGTAAATTGAATTTTGATATTATTTAATTGCAAGCTAGGCTAATGTTTTTATAAAACTTATTATTTCAGGAACTGGTAAAACAGAAGGTAAAGCGCCAACTAAATAAGCAACAAAAAGCTGCTTTCAGACGGCGACTGCAGAAAGGAGAAGCTAACATTTACACCAAACAACGGCGAGAACACATGTACAATATCAAATCAAGTTTGGATTCAGCTAGCTTCTGGGAATGACATCCTAGGGAAACATTTATCCTTTTTCTCCCACCTCACAAATCAAATAAAATTTGATTTTAATGGACTCATTAAATAATGGCTCATTTACCTCATTATGTTATTTGTATAATGACATCACAGCACAAATGATGTCAGTTGCTGTGGAAATTTGGTCCATTACTTACAAAGTCCATTATATCAAGATTTCATTGAAATGTCATATTGTGTTCTTGTATCCTGAGTGTAGTTTTAAAAAATTCCTAAAATCAAATAAATCAAGCTGTAAGGGTATTCAGAAAATAGGTGTAGGACTGGTCTAAACCCATAGGCTGAATCAATGTGGTTAATTTTTTAAGCCAATCCATAGCTTGGTTAACACAAATTGCTACTTAATTAATTTCACTGTGCTTAAATTGCCTTGGAGTCTATGCAGTAGTTGATATAAAACTTTCAGTGATGCTTGGATTTCAGAGTTTGACAAATTTAACAGTTCTTGCACAAATATAAAAATTTTAAACCTAAAGTTCTTTTTACCACATCCCAAAGGTTGCATATATAAACCCCATCCAAACTGTGACAGGTAATGAAAATGATCTTGCACAGACCTTGCAAGAACATTTCAAAAAGGTCTGTGCTACTGCTAATAATTTTTCCTATATTTATTCAACAACTTACTAAATAGCCTATTACCAAAAGTCCTGAGCCCTGTAGGTAGGCTTATTTAGCCAAAATGTTGTATCTTTAGAATATAAGAAAAGTAGTAGGCATGCTTGATCTAATCTACCATCATTTAGGGGAAAAAAATAATATAGAAGTTTGAAAGCATCCCAAAGAATAGTTGAAAATATTTTTTTTTAATTCTGGGTTTTGGAAAAACATTACAGAATAGAATATTAAAAAGTAAGCCCATTTAGTAGATAAGAATTTAAGACAGATAAAAGGCTCAGTGGAATAAGAACTTAGATCACTCATTTAAAAAGTTATACGTGTAACAGGAAATATTGTGTTATTGTACAGTCATTGTTATTTTTGTTTTATGACTACCTATTGACCTTTAAGAACTTTGTACTAAGAGTGTTTCTATTTCAGAAAAAACACGTTAAAATTATCTGATGTTTTGAGAAATAATCAACTTTTAGGTGGTATTAATTCCTACAGTTATCCAGAATTTTATTATGCACAGTTTTATCATGTGATACAACAATTTCTAATTTCTAACCAGCCATTGTGCTAGCTTGTAGTTCAGTAGCATCCCAGGAAATAAACCAAAGAAACCATGACTAACTTCACCATGGGTAGTGTCTTGTGTAAAACCTTCTACTTTCCAATAGCATTTTTAGGCATTCGCCTGTTCCCCTGCTCCTTTCTACCATTCTTATTTAATATTGCCCCTTTGCTTTCCATCTTCAGGTGCATGCTGGTGAGGATTTAAGGGGAAAAAAAACTCTTGAAATAATGATAGCCCAGGCTCTGTATACATACTTTTTGGGGGGTTCTCCAGGTTCAGGAAGATCTGCACCAACGTGTAGATCATGAGTGCTTCAGGTGTTTTGCTGTTTTTTAACTGGGAACATACAGAAACAATTGACCAAGTAAATAGCAGAACAGCCAGAGAGTTTCTGAAAGTCTGGCATCAAATAAAAGAACCATCAATAGAACAAAGAACTAGACATGATTTATCACCTAATCAAATACAAGATGTAAACATTCACAACTGACAAGGTAGACTAATCAAAACAGAGGTAACACCAGGTTCAACCACTAAGCAATGGTTGCTTCCCAAGAAGCATTCAATCACTAACCAACCCACCCCATAAAATTCAAATCCCACACAGATTATAAATATGGCAAGGCAACCCTCACTTCTGGATCATTGCACTTATGAAACTTGGCTGAAACACATTGCAAAATGTCTGCAACACTTGTGATGTACAGTTCGGTGCAGATCTTCCTGAGCTCAGAGAATCCAAAAGAAAGTATGTAAAAACAAAACTGAATTTGAGACTTAAGAATTAGGCCTGATTTTAGTTGAATATACTATTCAGACTGTGGCTGAGACACTATAAATAGAAGTAGTACCACTACATAATTTTTGAGTTACAGTGAATAATCCTATGTGAATATTTTTACACATTGCATTTACACAAGCATTTTTTCCTTTCTTCACCCCAAAAGTTCAAGTCAAAGATCTTGCTGTTACAATGCAAATGTTTGTATTCACACACTAGTAAACCAGGTTTAACCATAGTTTGATAAGCAAGCCATTATGGGTTGGCTTGCTTAGAACACTACGTTGCATGAGGCAAGAATCAACCCAATGTCATTCCTGTTTAGTGTGATGTATAAATCCAGCTCTGATCTAATTTGGTCAATTCAATCCAAAAATTTGGTAAATCAATATAATTTTTCCTTTCTTATAAAACTTTGAATTGATTCAATTCAGTTTTCCAATTCATTAGAAAAAGAAATCAAAAGCATCAGATTCAATTCATACATTATTAATCCCATTTGGTAAATTGATTCCATTCAGTGATTTGATTTGATAAACTCTGCAATATCCCCTTTTTTCTAGGCTCTCAGCTTGTGGCCTGTTCCCACAGAGAGCTTTGTGATATAGAAAAAGACACTGAAAGATAAAGCATTGGATAAAAATAAAGTTTAAATATAAATGTAAGAATTAGGCTATAATCTGATGCACGTACTTGGAGGTATACACCTTTGAACTTAATGAAATTTCCTTCTGAGGAAGGAACTTTCCTAACTTAACTAATTGCATTACTTAAAAAAAAAAGGGTACTGTATGGCCATAAATAACCAATGCTCCCTAACTTGAGTTTTATTTAGATTAAAGCCTATCTTTATAGACAGAAACAAGTAAGAGTTCAGCCTCAACATTTTACCGTGATATATTTTTAAGAAGAACAGCAAAATAATTTCTGAAATATCTGAAGTCTTCAAAGGTCATCATGAAGTTTATGCAAAGGATCAACTCAGTGCACCATTCCTGTTTCATATGCATATAGTCATCAAATTTATTTACTAGGAACTTCAGCAAATATGTAGGCTAGATGAATAATGTTCCTAACAATCTGAACAAAGTTGTATGCAAGAGATGCAAAACATTCAACAGAACGAAATTCTTCAATATTTTTCTAATGGCTGCACTCAGGGTGCTTATGTAACTGACCAGGGCAGCCTCAGAAGATGAAGGAAGAGGGCCATGCAAAGCACAGCTTTAAAACAACGCAGCCCCTCGATTCTAAAGGCCACAGCAGAGCTGTCCCCATGCATCTACTTGTCCCAATGGGCTCCTTAAGCATTTCCAATCACTGGAGGAGGCCATTGGAGCAAGGTAAAGCACCTCAGTGAACCCAGGAGTGTTTGTACAGTGGCATGAAATACGCCATCAAGGCATATTGTAACCAGCTAACTTAGGCTTGCTAAGAAGCCTCTTGCTTTTAGTTCAGTACTGCATATGGCAGGGTTCCTCAACCTCAGCTGCTGGCTGGAGAATTCTGGGAGTTGAAGTCCACCCATCTTAAAGTTGCTGAGGTTGAGGAACCCTGGCATACGGCACCTGGTTTATTTTGACTGCAAGAAGGGCAGAACGTAAATCCCTGGACCACACACTGTCTCCTAAAGTCTTGAGCTTGGGCTCAGAAACTTCTAAGGTGCAATTTTTAATATGGAAGAAGAGGAAAATTACTAAATCTGGAAAACCAAGTTTAATTTCAACTCAGTTTCAAGACAAATGAAATGAAATATAGTTTTTGCTTCGGCCCCATCCGTTACTTTTTGGAGTACAGCCCACAAATGCTAGTAAGGCTAAGGCTCTTGGCCTGAGAAAAGTTACATGCTCCTGCTATATAAGGATAACAGTAGTCACAGGGGTGTCTACAGAAGGGTAAAAAAAGTCAAGATGGCACCTGCAGTGCACATTAAAAAGCGGGGCTTTGATGGTGTGGGTGCAGTGGCCATCTTTACTTTTTTTTAACTTCTTCCAACACCTCTGAATATTCACATAAGGATATTTTGCTCCATGACTTCAGCATTTGTAACTTTGTAAATGAAGATTATTAACAGATTCCAGTGTCCACATCTCAGTTGTCAGGTATTTTAGTGAACTTACGTATGGATACATTACCATGTTTCCATATGGTGTGATAGCTAACTAGAAATTCTTGCATGACTGTCTAAGTGTCTGTATTTTTTTAAGTGAAGGTCACATTCACATTAGCGACACTAGACAGCTACTTTCTATTTAATGCCGGCATGAGCAAAGCACTCTTCATCTGAATTTTTAGTTCTTCCCTTAAAGTTGCAATTCTTTACCAAGCTGCTGAATCTCAAATGTGATTTAGTTTTTAGTAGACTAATAAAGATTTGTGTTATGAACTTCAACACTCAGGAATTTAGGAATTAAACATTTGACAAAAACAATAGAAGCTGGTAAAATCAAATTAAATGGTCATCCATGGAAATTATTTCTTTTCAACCTGCGTTAACAAAATCAAACAATTTCCCTGGTGACAGTATTGTTTCCACATAAATCCTAAGTGTTGTTTATGACTTACATATACAGATACTGTTGGGGACTAGATTGCCTGAAAAATTTCATTCTTCCATATGAACCTGCCCAGTTTTAATGTCCTTGGGAGAGGTCCTTCTTTCAAAGCCACCATCACCCAAAGCCCATTTCTAGGGAATTAAATAGCTCTGGGCCTCTGGAACTAGCTGGGCTATTTTTTCTCAGCTGTCTTTTGTCAGAGACAAGAATGTTTCTATCCAGACAATTTTTGGCATAAAAGGCAACCTGTTTACCAAAGAAATCTGCAATGTGTGAGTGCTATTTATTTCCTCATATTGAAGTATTTTAAATTTTGGTTTCAGTGAATTTGTATTCTTAATTTTATCTGTTTATCACTCTTCTTAGCTGCTTTGAGTGCTATTTTCTGCAAAAATGGTGGAATATAAATGAAAGAAACAATGTTGATCTATCAACAGCTATTCTTTTCAGATTCTCCCTCATAATACTAAGGTGATTTTATGATGAAATTCAGAGGCAAACATCTGATCATGAAGAAAACTTTGGAGATGGAGTGGGGCTAAAATGTTTGAAGGTATCAGGAAATAAAGGAAGATATTTAAATCCGGGTATCGCATGTTTTCATTTAAAATGACGGTGTTGTGATTAGCCTAAGCAAATGTGTCTGCATCTTACAGCTTGTTGAATATGTAAAATTCTATATAGCTTTTCAGTGTCTCTAATTTTTCCCCTTCCTTATTAACCTCATGGGGTTGGACTCTTATTTAAATTAACAGAAATCCACACTTTGTCTGAGTCTGTCAACATCAGGATGAGAGGAGGAATGCCTTTCTCATGATTAGCTTCTCCAGCTAGCCAGTAGGTGGGTGTGTTTAACAGAAGAAAGCAGTAGTCAGCCTCCTTCTCTAGCTAATTAGCTCAGCCAACAACAAAGATAAGTGAGCCAGGGAGGGAGACCCCCTGAAGGGTCTTTTGAATCTGGCCAATGTCTGATTGGCAGATGTTGAAAGAGATTCGTTGGTAATCCAGTTCAGCAATGAGCTGCATAAATTCAAGACAGGACTGGAAGAATTCCGGCATGTGGACACTTTGTGGATGCAGTCTGGAAAAAGGCAGCCCAAGATGGACAGAACTTTGGAATCTCTACAACACATCATTTCTCAAGTCTTGCCTCACAGAGACCCTACACTAGCTTTTAAAGACTGTAAGTACCAAAATGTCTGGACTACTGAGATGATGCTTGCATTCCCATCCAACTGAAATCTGTAGGACAGAGACATTGCAGAGATCTGTCTATAATATTTTGTGTACAAATTCAATTTTGAGAGAGGCTAAGAGACTATTATTTATGATATTTTACTTTCTATCAATAGCATATTTTATTTAATGTTAATTTACTCTTTTTAAAATAAGTCTCTTAGAATTCAGCAAAAAACCTGAATGCACGGTTTATTATACTGGCAATCACCTTTGTCTCTAGGTAGTTTTAATGTGTCTGATAACATTTATTCCAAAATATTAACACTTCAATTTATGCTGTGATCTTTATATGACATCGTGTGTGTGTGTGTGTGTTAAATACATCTCAAAGTACCTCAATAAAATATTTTTTTCTGATTAGTGTATGTGTTCATACACATACACACAGACAATGGCATAAAACTTGTAGTTTTACTATAGTAAATTCTAAATTGGTGTTAGAATTTGTACTGAGTTTATTTTTCCCATTAATGTTTGTACTATAATAAATTTAGCTCTTAAAAGCTATATAGCAGTATATAAAACCCCTCTTTCTTCAATGTAATCTGAGCCTGCTAGTTTTTGAATAATGTTGCTGAAGATTCAAAGATGATTTCTCTTTTTTTTAAAGACTAAGTACTTTATATCAGAAAGAGCATCAGGATCCTGGAATCCTATGCTCAGAAAAGCAGAATTCCTGAACACTACAGAAAATCAGTTTTGAACAGTTTGCAAAATTTCTTAGGTGAATAGATCCATTTCAGAATGTTCCATCAACCTCTTTGATACCACTTTTTGTTAACTTTGAATGTGAGATAGAGAGAGAAAGAAAGAGCAGCAGCTACAATTTTACCCTAAATTACACATTTTTTCCAGGATAACATTTTTAAGAAAAAATAATCAACTGTATTATGTTATAAACATTAAGGCTATGCTTAGTTCTTATGTTAAATGACACTGCAACAGAATGATTCTTTCTAAATTAAATGGAATTAATGCTTGAAATAAGCAGCTGGCAAAGAGCAGTTATGTATCTGTTACTCCATACATGGTTTGACAGAAATCAGCAGTTAGACAGATAAACAAACATGAACAGAACTTCCTTAGCCCACCCAGAAGAAAATCTCCCTCCTGTTGCAGCCGTCCTACATTCAGCTGAGTTTTTTATTCTGAAACCTTGTAGGAGCAGATGCATCTCATAAGCAAGAAGAATTTGGTGTAGGAAAGACGGAAAGCTTTCTTTCCTCTTCTTTGTGGTGGATTCCTGAAAATCATTATGCAAGGTTTTGATTGAAAGTATATTTATTGGCCTCTCAGATGGTTACTATGCCCACCCACAGACTGGAGAGGTGAGAAAATGGCTATAATAAAGCAGAAAAAGCACATGTCAAACAAGATGGGCTTAAAATACCATTTTAATGGAATCTTACCACAAAAGTGGAGTCAACCATCAAAAAGAGTACTTTGGTGATCTTAGCACTCTTGACAATTTCACTACTTGTTATTGAACTTTACTGTGTTATGCACTGATTACTGTAAGTCACTTCTAATGTAGAAAGAAATTACTCTTTACTAAAGCGCAGCATTTGAGCAATCTTAATTCTGGTAATTATACTTCAATATAGGCTGTATGTTTCCTAATCTCCTTCTTGAAAATGAATGTGGAATTCAGTTGTAAGAAAAGTTCTACAGGGTAGTGAAGGAGTAATGGGTGCTCATCAAGCTATTTCTTATTCCTCCAATTGTCCCTCAGGCTTTCAGTCATGTTATTTTATGGACCTCTAAAGCATGAATGCTCCTGCTCTTGCTTCTGTAATTATATTTACTTCCCCCTCTTCCCTTCTCAAGCTAGATTGTTGTTGTTGTTTTCTGAAGTCAACTAATTGGTATTCAAGTGCAAATAGACATGTATAAAAACAAAATTAAGTATCAAGGGCAAATCTATATTTTCTACCCCAGAGTTTTGACAACTGCTATTGTCAAAATAGTTATTTATTTATAGAACCCACAAGACTTGTTCCAAATTAGCATCCGATCCTGATGCTCATTTCCCTCAGAAATCAAGAAGTCTTCTCTGGCTGCTTTCTTCACGAGTCTTCCAGATAATTTTGGGTAATCTATATTGCTGAATACAGTATATTTAAAAACAGTGGTTCTATCACTTTTATTTATGGGATATCACTAGTGGAAGGAGTGTGCTACTTTTATTAGCAAGAAAAATCAAGATGAGAAGATTAGCTTTGTGAAAATGACAATGGGATTATGAAAAGGCCTAGATCCAATTACCTGATAATATCAAGTTGTCTAATTGATTAAATAACAGACCAGACACCAAGGGCATTATGGGAATGAGGCATGGGTATTCATGAAGGTGGGGCAAGTGACAATGCAAGTGTCATGTCATCATGCAAAAGACATGAATGATGTAGCTTGTGTCAGTCATGTCACATAACACATGGGGCTGCTTCACACTTCCCACTAACCTGTCAACCACTATTAGAAAGATGCTAAACCATAAACTACCATGAGTTCCTAGAATAGCCTAAGTCAAAATCAATATATTTCTACATTCAGGTGTTATCTGATAGATTACTTTCACAATGCAAGTTATGATAATGAGCCCCCTTCCCCATCATGTCATTCCTGGAACATAGTTTCTGGAACGGCCATCCAGATGTACCACATGGATGTCTTTACCACTGAGGTTTTGATATCTACAACTTCCACATAGGCATAAACTATGATAGTGAGGTTTAAACTCACATGGAAGCTAATGAATGTACAACTATATGTATAAAGGTATCTTGCTATAAACATTTGTACTATATGGAGAGAAACCTACAATATATAGGACAAAAAGTATTTCTGCTGCTGTTGTGTGTGTAACTAGTTAGATAACATCTGAATAGGAGTTACAGCTTAGTGTGGTGTGTGCATCCAGGCAGTATCATTTAAATACATGAGCACTGTCTCCTTCAACCTGGAGCTTTAGGCATAGTACTCTCAGTATCCATGATCTAACCTGGATGTGGACATGCTGGCTGAAATATCTAGGAACTGTTCTAATGCACAGGAGGACAGCAGGTTAGAAAGGCAGCCTGTGTCTTATGGTAGTGTGGTTAATTTGTCTAATAGTGGTTATATAAGCACCAGAACCAAGTGGCCAGTCAATAGCCCCCCATTCATACCCTAGTATGGCCCTGGACTAGATTGACTAATTAATCAGCTTTTTCAGAAGCCATGTGCTTTTCCTCTTCTTTTTTTCACAGTGGCCTTGCATGAATCTATGGGGAAGGTTGAGTTGATGGAGGAGATATATGTAGGCAGGCAGGCAAAGACTCCAAAAACTTTGACACCTAATATAGTTGTCAGGGTCCTAAATGTTGCTCACTTGTATAGCAGAAGAAAAACATAATCATCTCTTTTTTTTCCCCACAGTACAATTTTGAATTCAACCCATTAGGGAAATATCACTCACCAACATATTGAAGTATATGGTTCAGTTTTTAGTATGGTTGCTCTTATGTCAAAAGTACAATCCTAATCATGCTTGTATAATTGATGCTGTAACACAATCTAATCTTTTAGATATCAGGTGAGGATTATACATTGGCCAATCATCTTTTAATTGATATGAGCTATTTGGGGAATCTGGCTAAGGTCTCACGTTGTACTGATCCATCATTTCTTGCAATCATGCTTTTTTCAATAAGCTACAATGTCCGGATTCATTGAATATGGTAAGCCAAAATGAAATAAACCATAGTAAGACAGTGTATTGTTACAGTGCCTGAAAGGGTTGTCCTAGGCTGACTTGGTGAAATGAAGAACAGATATACATTTTAGACTATGTGCAGTTTTATAATTTAACTTGTTCCATTCCATAATATTTACATACTAAGAGGGAAAAGGCCAACATTTTCTTTCAATTCTCTCCATGATTTGTAACAGTTGACTTCCCCTCCCCATGTTATTCTGTCTTAAAATCATTAAGCCTTATTTTAAATAATTTACCCCAAATTAGCAGCCATTGAGGAGAGGGCTGGCAGTTGCCTAAAAAGATTTGGAAGGCCATGTGCACCCTTGGACTGAAGAATAGACACCTTTTGAGTAGAACAGGGATGCCCATTGAACACTGCATCATTAAAAACAATCTTTCAAATAATCCAGTCTTCAAGGGCCACAGAGTTCATGGTGGTGATCTGATAATATGGGATTGAAATGTTCAATTTTGGGGGATTTGAAAGAGTTGGAGTTTCTTTGTTTTTTACTCAAAACAGGTACACAAAGCTTACCTTATTAGAGAAGAAACCTTGTCCACCTCCATACTATCAACAAATCTAAAACAACCTTCCCATTTTGCTTTTAAATATTTGGGGGGGGGGCTCATCTTTGATTCAGAAAAATGCAGTAAAGGCTAATTGTGATTTGAAAAATAATGAAAAATATGAGCTACCAAAATAACAACATGCTCCTTAATTTCAGCAGTACAGTCTTAGCATGCTTTTAGAGACAGGATGTGGCTCAGTTCTGCTATAAATGGACAGTGGTTGACACAACTGGAATCTGAGTAAAATGTGTTACTGAGTATTGTGCTCAGCAAAACAGAAACGTATGTTGCTCATAATTGAGCTACTGCAATAATGAATTAGCAAACATGTGCCATTACCTGCTTTCCTTTAGTAGGTGCAAAAGCACATGCCTTGGAAAAGTTATTCAAATGCTGTGATCTGTATAAATCTACAAAGATCAGAATCACACAAACAATGGTATTCCCTGTGACACTCTATGGAAGTGCAAGTTCAATTTTGAAGAAGAAGAATAGGAAGAGCATTGATGCTTTTGAACTTTGGTGAT